TTATTATTATTCCCATTCTTAATTTTCCTCTGTAGAAACAACACGATCTTGGACTATGTGAGAATTTATATTCCATATAATATTATTACTATAAGCACGTATATAGCATTTGTATATGTTATCTTGTACCACTAATGGACTCCAAATACAAGACACGCGTTTTAAATCATCCGTACAACAAGAGTATTATAAACATAACATACCATACACATATGTTATCGTGAAGGAGACGACGAATATGCATATAATATAATGCGTTGCAGCGTGTATAATGTATATATGCACTCGAAAAGCTTCATGGGACCGATGGGATTTACGATATATTAATATTATTATATTATACCTACACCAGTATATGGTCTGATTGTACACCACCATTGTAAATATACAATACCTAACTGGCTAACTATAATAATATATGGATATGTAGGTATACCTGCAGCGTGTGTACGATTGTTGTTCGTACATTTAACATTAAAAAATACACATGCAAGCGTTTGTTGACATTTGGCCGGGTTATTTGATTCATTACCATGTAATTAGCCGGAAACGACTTAAATAATAGTAGTGTATGTAATGAATAGTTTGTAATAAATTTGTAAAATATTGTACTCACGTTCAAAATGTTTGTTAGTTCGCAGTTCGGTTATTATTAATTAATCCAAAAAATGAAAGTAAGTTAGCCAGATCGATAGATAATCGTTTGTAGTATTGTATTTATCCAGAAAAAATATTTGTGAGTGAATTTATTATTTAATAGCAAATAAAAAAAAGGTGCTCTGCTGTACAGTAGGTTAGAAGATTGTCACTGTATAATAAATGGTATTAAATTTGAATTCAATGATATAATATAATTATATAAGAAAAACGATTCTGAGAGAAGACGGTAACTTATCTATGGTATTAAAAAAAAATTGTACCTATAATAAATTCCAAATGAATCATATCACAATAGCCATTAGGTACTTATAACTTGTTATACATCAACAACAAACCTTGATACTATAATAGATATATAATAGTATACTTTAGAAGTTTCAATTACCCACAAATAATATTATACAATCACAACAAAATAACTAAAATAGTTATTCTAGGTTTTAATATGTAATTTCGTCCAAATTTGAACTTAAAATAACTATAAAAATAAACTGTGCTTATGTATTTTTGATTTTTTGGTAACAGAATAAACTACTTACGTGGAATCTTGTTTTAAATTTTCAATATCTTTGGATATAAAAGTTGAACATTTTATACATTTTTAAATACAAAATAATTATTCAATTTTAAATTTTATAAATTTTGTCAAAATTCGATCTTTAAATGCTTATAAAAAAAAATTGTGCTTGTGAATTTTTATTATTTTTCAACTGATATTGTAACAATATATCTGGAGCCTTGTATTAATTTTTTACACTTTTTTGCCAACAGATAAAACTCAATTGATATTTATAGAAAAAAAACTAAAAAAATTGAAAACTGTAAATGTCCGTAAACAGCTCAAAAAGAGTAAAAATATTTTCAAAAATGTATGGTGTATAGAAAATGCTAATATAAACATTCAGTGAAATTTTCAAGTATCTACAGTCATTCGTTTTTTAATTGCAACAGAATAAGAAAATCGTTACATGAGAAATCGAGTGAATATCCAATATTGTAAAAATTTGAATTTCAAATGCTCAAAAAAATTTAATTTAACTTTCTTATAGACATTTTTTTTTATGATAAATGTAGATAATCCTTTAAGGAATCTTCTATTACATTTTAAACTTTAGATTTAAAAAGAAAAATTTTTACGAATTCTTAACTCAAACTAATTTGCTAATTTTCGTGATTTTTCCAAATTTTGTCAATTTTTGAACTTTAAATGCTTATAAAAAAAACCTGTGACTAAGGATTTTTAATATTTTTCATCTTCCTTTGAAACAATATACCAGGAGCCTTCTATTAAATTTTCAAGCTTTTTTATCTAACAAATTAAATTTAATTGTTATTTTTAGAAAAAAAAAACTAAAAAAAAATGGAAAATGAAAATGTCCCTAAACAGTTAAAAATAAATCAAAATATTTTGAAATTGTTATCGCGTATAGAAAATTCTAATATAAACATTCAGTCAAAATTCCATGTACCTACGGTAATTTGTTTAAGAGTTACACCAAAAACCAAAATCAATTTTTTCGAAACCAGATTTTGGGTATAAATTCCCGTTTTTCCTTAATTTTTCTTTTGTTTTTAACGGCGTTTTGAAAATGACTGGGAAATTTTTACTTTTGACCCCCCAATGTAACAACTAGATTCACTTTCCTATCAGAAAAGATACTGTTGAAGAAAATCTAAGCACTTTTACTGGCCTAAAAGGTGATGACAGACACAAAAAAAAAATTAGAAATTTAAAAAAAAATAAAAAAAAACACATCATTGTAAAATCAATACATTCATCATTTCACTCAAAATCTAAAAATTAAAATCTTTACAACTTCCTTAAAATGATTGTTTAATATAATAACAAATACAAATGTACACATTTTTTTTCGTAAGAGTAGTTAATCATACTATCGTTAAAAATAGCATTAATTAAATCATGGCCCATGAGAACAAATTACAATATAATACAATAAATACCTATTAAGAAACACGTACGACGTATCTATCACGATAGCTTGACAATGTGACTGCGAAGTCGATAATAATTAATATTGAGGATTAAGGTAATTAGTAATTACTAATTACGAACTGCGAGGCGTGTCTCATAGCGTACATAGTAAACCCCTCTCACATTAGCATTCCCCCTGTACCCACGCACCCATATTTGAGAGACATTGCGTCGCAACGTCTATTAGATTTAGATATAATACCATATTTGGAATGACTCGTTTCGCCAGCTCAGCCGTTTTGCGCTCTTTAATATATTTTAAAAATTATATAACTGTACAAAACTAGGTACAACGAAAAACCGATTTTAACAAATGCTGAAACATACATTGTATTTTTTATAATATAAAATAAAATTCACATTTTTAAATATTTTATAAAACAAAATAATTATTATTTATTTGTCCAGTGTTCTAATTTCTAAGTGGTGAGACGTTGTCTCTTTGTCTCCTATGACGTTTCGCCACTGCAGTAAAGCCAGCAAAATGGATTTATATCCTACAACAATTTAACAGTGAAAAAAGAGACAAGTCTCAGACTCGAAAAAGTTCTTCAAAAAAAGCCTGACTATCAAAGTAGTGATATCTACATTGCGGCTAAGTCTGAACTTTCTTTACTCAATGACCTCAACACACAAATACATTCATGTGCAACAACTCTCGCACACGCACGCACATGTCAACAAATCACGAAAAATAAAATATATTTTTGTTTGCATATGTAAGAGATAACTATAAAAACACTAAAAGTAGTATAGTAAATTAAACAGACTTCCTGAAACCATGTAATTTTGAAAAAATGGTTGCATTTTTATACTTCTATAGAGTCTAGACTTTTTTCTTAGGAATCACTTTTTTGATTTAAAATCAGATATGCCCAAAATATTTATTTCAAAATTATTAATTATTATTAATTATTTCAAATGCAATGAAATTATTTCATGGGGTTTTTGAAAAAAATATCATAAATTATTAAGATCCTTTAAAACTGAAAATTGAAAATCGACTGCCTAAAACGCTTAGGTATTTTTTCAGAATAAAGAAATAAATAATTTATAAATATATTAAAAATTAAAATCAGACATTCTGAAGTACGTGTAATTTACCACCGCTTATTGGTCTAAAACGTATTAGAAATACGTGTGCTTCGATCCACTTATTAATTATTTGTATATATTAAATTAAAATTTGAAATTGTATATATTAATTATTTGTATTGCTTATTACTTGGCCAGTTTCAAAGAAAAATAACCCGTAGGTGTTTTAAATTTATTTCAGTTGTTGATAAAGTTTAAGATAAAATATCAGGGACTTGCGAAGTCAGTATAAACTATTGGTTTATATTATTAAGTAGTTAATTTCACGTTAGTCAGAACTTTTATTTCATTAGAGGAAATAGATGTCTATAGAGTTAGCATTTTTAATTAATAAAATTTAAAGTGCATATACATTTTACTCAATTTAGAACTACAACTATTAGGTAATTGTATGTGTAAGTACTTTTGTTGTCAATTCTATTAAAAAATCTGAAAAATCTATGGATAGAGTTTTATATAAAAAAATATTTTATAACTGTTTAAATAGAACTTTTAAAAAATTTCAAATACTTTTTTCGACCGTCAGTATGGATAATATAAATTGGATAATTCGTCTATTTTGTATAAAATTATAATACATTAATTAGTATACAATGTTAATGCATACAAAATATATTGTCTCTAAATTAATTATAAATAGACGAATGAACCAATTTATGTTATCCATACTGATGGTTGAAAAAAGTATTTGAAATATTTTAAAACTTTTATTTAAAGAGACAGTCAGTTATAAAATATTTTTTATATAAAACTCTGTCCATATATTTTTGAATAGAATTGAAAACAAAAGTACTAAGTACTTACACATAAAATTACCTAATAGTTGAAGTTCTATAAATTATAATAATTGTTAATCTGTTTAGTAATAATATGCACTTAATTACTTATATACCTATGTTATACATGGTAAATAATACGTTGGTAGTGATAAAAACTAATTTTGAGTGTGTTTCATGAAATACAATTGTTCCAAAGTACACATGATTTTAATTTTAACCTCTAAAAATGTAATTATACATCGCATTTGGTACCTACGTTAAATTTTAATGTTAATCATAATATTATTCAAAGATAAATAATGTCCATTTTAGTTAAGGTATCTTTTATTTTAAAAATGTTTGAATATAATACATAATAATTTAATATGTTTACACAAATGCAAGAATACAATATTATTATGATCATTAGAACATTTAAAAAATGATTAAGTTTGGCACGGTCAAGCGGTGTCTGCTGGATATGACGGATGTGGCTAGAGACTCCGGTTGAAATTCTCTACAGCTGTCCGGTCCTCCCAAGCGCGTGTGTAGGCCGCCCACAGAATCGGATCACTTCGTATTTTGGCCACTGAAAACGTGATCGCTATAACCGCAATACGGGCCATAGCGTTTAGCTCACCACCTTGACTCTCCACGATGACTCTTCTCCTCTGTATAAGCTCTTTCAATTCCCCAACGTAGCGTTCCGTTCCGTATTCCATTCCTATTATTGGAGCGTTATAGATATGGGTGACGTCTGCCGTCCAGTCATGCCAACCACGATTGTAGATCGCCCACACAACCGGGTCACATTCCAGTTCATTCCATGGACACGACCTCAATAAAGACGCTGTATAGTCGTCTATTCCAGTACCCCGTAGGATTTCTCTAACCCTCTCGCAAATCCTAATTAATTCCAGCGTGAAGTTGATAGATGTTGCTGGTGTTGATCGTTTCATCATGTTGATTGACTCTATAATGTTAGTTTGAGATAAGTACACGTTCTTAAGAATTACCTATTATTATATAATTATCTGATTTTTTTGTCCACCATTCTCGGAGCTCGTTTCAGGCTCTACACTTACATTTTCCGTTAAGGTAATTTAGTTGGTGATAGGAACGAAATTTCGATTTTTATTTCAATTTTGCTAATAAATATTAATTTTTTTTTATTTAAATTTAAAATGGGATCGCAAGTACTTATTGAGTTTATAATTGTACATATATATATTTTTTTTATTATTTTTTTTTATTTAACATTTTATTTACAATCTCTACAATACAATTGGTACAATGGGTAAGTTCAATATATGGTTATTATCAGGAGGTAGCATTTATGGATAGGCGCTCAGCAGGGTCACCCGATAAGGTACTTCAGGTACTTGCTAGGGATTACCTATTGTTTTATTTTTTATTTTTATTTTATTATTTTAGTAGTTCTCTAGACCACTGTATTTTAAGTCTTCTAAGTAGATTACCGGGAAGTGAGATGGAGGATAGTTGTTTGATTAATGGGTTACTGAGAGTTTAATTTAGTCAGAAATTTAAATTAATATTGTATATGATTTCGAAAGGTTTCACAACATCGATTTAATTATTTTCTGATCTGTAATTAAATGTTGTGCATAATTTTTCTTTTTATTCAATTTAAGATATTACCTACTTACTTTTATATGGTTTTAATTTTAGTTTCTACCTACGAGAACGTGTCGGTATGCGAGGCTATGGAACGAGTTTAAAAAACGAAATATTAATTATTCAAATATGATATGGACAGCAGTAGATAATAAGTTATTACTATTCTCTATTCCATCTAAGAGTGAACCGCTTTCGCGCACGCAGACTGAGCCGCCGAACAGTGCCGACCCCTCATGCGATGGCTATGCTTTCTGTGATTGGCGGACAGTGATCGCCGGCCGTCGTCGGACGTCGGGCGCCCGTGTCAAGACTCCCACCGATGTCCGGATTGTGGTGGGAATGCGCGGAAAAAACATGTTTTGGTCAGCCGAATGGTTCACTCTTAGATGGAACAGAGTATAATAACTTATTACCTACAGATGAGCAATATTATAGACCTGTTGGTTATTGTTAAATTTTAATTTTGTTACAGTTTTAAATCGATTTGTGTACAAACATTATACAACTATTATTATTTTGGCATAAATAAATTATTGATTTTAATTTTTTCGATTTCCATATTTCCACTCTGCGGCTAAACACCACGTGTGTCCCTGCTGTTTATCCATCCGCAGATGCTTAATTTCAACGATAGACTACAAAATGTCCGAAAATGATATCTCTGACAAACATTTAGTCCGAATAATAATTTAGCCGACATTGTTTCATCCAACAATTAATATTTTGGGAAAGCCATATTTTAACTGACAAATATTTTAGCCGAAACGTTTTTAAGCTGTCAGCTGTAATGACATTGGTAACCGAAATATTTGTCTGCTAAAATACATCTCCAATAAAAAATGTTTCCTCTGAAATGCAGATCAGATACATATTTATTATGCGCTCCCTATTTCAACAATAGTACCCAGATTACGTCATGCCGGGTTTTCCGTTGCTTGTGACCGACCCCGTTTTTTCATACACAATACGCTAGGTGGATCCTACATATAAGTATAGTACATGTGGTAAATATTTTGACTTACCGATGATTCCTGTTCGAAGAGCGGATTCGACACAATTGATCGGTGGATCCGTATTGATGTGATACAGAAGTGGTTTCAGCTGGTGTCAGTAAATCAATCTTATACTATAATATGTATAGTTTGTTTTTTTTATATTGAATTATGTTATATAAAAGTGAGCGAGATAGTATACTGAAGGTTAACAAAACAGAATATTTTCTAACAAAAATAAATGTAAGAAGGAAAAAACATGTGCGCTAACGTAAAGGGATGTTGCAGTTAGCGAGGATACGAAAGAAGTGAGAGGATCGGTAATGGCGGTACTTCACATAATAATACCTCATTGGATTAAATCAGCCGGACATGGAACAGAAAACACTGGACAGTAGTGTCAATTCATCTGCGATCAGTATGACCAATCCACGAAAAAAAAATGGTACTCATTTTTACGGTAAAATACCGATTGTAATCGCGATAACGTTAAATCCACGAGTATAGATTACAGAAATTTAAGAAATGGATGGGCGCCATGGCCCAGGGACCTTTTTATATTTAATATACGTAGGTAATAGGTAGTGTGCTTACAAACAACGACTATAGATACTAATATACCATATTATACATTTTAATAACCAGTATATTAAAGTATATTTCGATGTGTTATTTTCGGTCTATACATATTAAAAAACGATAGCTCAAAAATTTAATTTGAAATTATTTCATCAACTTGTTGTTTACTATTTGTGGATATAATTAATTTTAATTGAGTAATAATTACTCTAAATAATTCTAAATTTGACCCAAATTTAACATTGAATACTGAATGTTTAATTTAAATGTGGTTTATTATTTAATTTACCTGTGATACCTAGACCTAACTCCGATTGATGACGATTATGATGTGACAACAACAAGAAACGGATTACCTAGGTTGTCAAAAATTCCTTTTCATTTTATTTAAAATTAAAATGTTTTTCATACTCCACAGTGCTTTAATAAAAAAAAATTTTAACAATTTTTAAATTGTCAAAAGTTATCTTACAGAATTACGAAATCATATATTATAAACAAACTCAACATCATGTATTTATTACTTAAATAATAATATTAAAAAAAATGAAAATAAATACAAATATCTATTTAATAAAATGTAACACTCAAACATACAATTATTTTCCAATTGAATCGTATAGATATAGGTACTGTCGTACTGATACAATTAAAAAATAAATAAATATGTTGGGTTAGTCGTTAGTAGCATTGATTATATATACTATAGATCGCTCACTGGCTCGTATTTATGCAACTAGAAATATTGACGAAAAATGGATGTGGCCGTTAAGAAGCGCTGTCGTCGCCCATTAATTTCTTATGGGCGACGACAGCGCCTCCATGACGGCCACATCTAATGTTTGTCAATATTTTGAGTCACCTAAATACGGGCCAGTGAGTGAACCATAGTATTTATAATGAATGTTAGTAGGTATCGATCGAGATACTATAAAATACGACTGATGATAAAAATCGAGCATACAGAAGTTTTTGGAATTACCGTGACACAAATACAAAATATGTTACTGCAGGCCGTTTTATCACTGTCTACTGCTGTGTGTGGACTCTTATAAGAACACGTAAGCAGAGTCGTAGCAACAAGGGCTTGTCAAAACTGGCCAAGGCAAGGGTTACAAAAGTCAGAACAAAATATACCGATGTTATTATTAGCTGACCCTGTGCACTTCGTTGACCTTAAAAAATGAGAACCCTTTAGAAAATTGTGATTGTTCAAATCCTTTTGGATGTTCTCGCAGCAGTAAGTGCAATTCAGCCACCCTAGTAGCCGGTAGGTAATCTGACTACGTCGGATCGCGGACATTGTGCAACGGCATATCAAGTAGATATGTAAATCTAATATATAAAAATGTCATGTCTCAGTGTTTGTTATTGACCGAAACTAAATAATGTTCTAATTATTAATAGGTGTATAAATCTCTAGTAAAATGGATCAAGTATGATAGAGAAAATCGAAATAAACATTTACCAGACTTAATGGAAAACTTTTGGTTACCAATTGCTTACCATGAATTTTTTAAGTGTACTGTTGATAAAGAACCACTTTTGAAGTTAAATAACAATTGTAACTATATAATATTTTTATATTTGATTTTCTTATTTTTTCTTAATATATTATGTTGGTAGATAGAAAATATTTAGATGAAGCTTATGCTGTTCATACAGTCCTTGATACTGAGTGAGAAGTACCAAATTTTACTTCTTGCAGTACGTTTTAATTATGAGCAAAAGAGCCAAATACCATCTTCCTCTTTTGTTTAACATAATCACAAATCAGTGGAAAACTACATATATCAATAATTATAGGTACCACTAAATAGTTATGGTGAAACTTATTTACTCGATGATGGATTGAGTCAAAAATATGACTGGATGTAAGAAAATATTGAGAATTACTCTTAATGCCGCCAAGATCAAATATGTGACTATCATCTAATAAATTAGTTTCACCATAACTATTTTTCGTATAATTATTGGTACAGTTTTCCACTGATTTGTGATTATGTTAAACAAAATAGGGAGATGGTATTTGGCTCTTTTTTCGGCACATTTGTTCGACTCTCTCAGCCAGCTCATCTCGATCATGTCTTGCTCCTGTTGCAATTCACGACTGAATGTGTTACGGCGGAAACGCCATGCCTTATCTAATATTGTTATCGATAAACAATAAACCAAATGTCATTACAAATTATATTGCGATTATACCTACTATGTGTATAAGTTAGTCATTGTTGTCGAGTTGTCGGCTACGCACTCACAGAAATAATGTAAAATATACAGTCCATTAATAATATAATAAAAAATTGTTGTAAAGTCATTTATCAGGCAACAGAATGCATCATGCGTGAGCTTCCAACATGTAGCTGAGAGAATGGGCAAACTACTTAATGTTTGCAGCGTCTCCTTCAGCAGCGATGGCGTCACGCAAGTGGATGCACTCGTCTGCTCGTAACTTCGACTGATTAAAACGAATGAGTTTAAGATATAAGACGCTCAATTAATATTCAAATTAAAAATAATAAAAATAGATAAATATTATTCTCAACTCCTACAACCCATAGCAACCATTGTCCATTAATAAACGAAAATGTATATCGTAATTCCAGTTTGATAAATTATCTTTTTTAATTAATCTATGACACTCACAAAGAATGTGGCTTTCTATTGGTGGAAGAATTTTCGAAATCGGTTCAGTAGTTCCAGAGATTACCCTCAACAACGGTAACTAACAAGTAACAACTCATCTTTATATA